GGATGTTTTTAAGCAGGAGAAGGTACAAGGAAAGCACCGAACTGATTATCAAAAATTGAGATCCATCTTCTAAGTGGTCGACCATAAAGCGAGCCCCAGAGAACTCTCTCAGGGGACGTTCTTCCCTGACCCCTAAGAAATTTGCCATTATACAACTTTCCGCCCTGATCCCTGCTCCCCCTGGACTGAGAAAGCCCTTCCTCAACGTATGGGCAGCCGGAATTCCAGCATCCCTCAGGGCCCAGCTCCAATGCCATTTTCTCCAACACCTAAGAACAGGACACATCACAGGGGGTTCCAAGACCACAAGCCCTTTCCAATGACCGTGAAGGCCCAGGAAGCATAAGCCGAGCTTGGAATGATGATGTATGAGGTGACTGTGCCCTGCCTCCGTCAGATCCCTAAAGACATGCATGTCTAGATGCCCTTTCTCCTCTTAAGTTAAGGGGAAATATCCCATGGCACACACCAGGACGAGGGCCTTGGGGAAGGGAGCCAGGAACACAGCAGTTGGCCCGGAGCTGACTGGGCCCCAGGACTCTGTCCACTCGCCCACTCGCAGGGGTGAAGGCCAAAGAGCAAGCGTGACCAAAGCAGACCCCGTTTACTCATTCAATAAATATTCACCAGGTACTCAGCTGCTGGAATTATAGCAATGACCTAAACAGACAAAAACCCCTGCCCCTCATGGGCTTCCCATTCTCGCAGGGAAAGACAGACGATAAAAAAGCAAACACGTAAGTACAGAACAGGTTGGGTGATTACATTTGCTGGGAGAATCAGGGTGATGGGGGTGGGGATGGGAGGGCAGCTTTATTCAGGATCATCAGAGAAGCGTCTCTGACACAGTGACCAGAAGGAGAGCAGAGGCCACGTGACCATTTGAGGCCAAGCATTCCATTGCAGGCAGAGGAAACAGCGAGGGAGGGCAGAGGGCACTGTATTAGTTTCCTTTTGTTTCTGTAACAAATTACCACAAACTTGGTGGCTTAAAACAACACACACGTGATTACCTTACAGTTCCAGATGTCAGACGTCAAAAATGGGCAAGCAGGGCTGGGATCCTCTGGAGGCTTCGGGAAGAAGCCATTTCGCAGCTGTTTCCAAGGGCTGCCCACATTCCTTGGCTCGAGGCCCTGCCACCCTCACATCTCCTTCTCTGCTTCTCCCTCTTATAGGGACCCTTGTGATTACACTGAGCCTCTCTAGATAATCCAGGGTCATCTCTCCATCTTGAGATCTCTAGCTTGAGGCCATGTGCAAAGTTCCTTCTGCCATGGAAGGCACAGAGTCACAGGTTTGGGGATTAGGCCATCTGGGGCAGCATTATTCTGCCAACTCCAAGCACTAAATCAGGAATGCGCCTGGACGGTGTGAGGCCTGGCATGCAGGGGGGCCAACGTGGCTGGACGAGGCTAACGCCCTGAGTCCGTGGAAGACCTGCTCCTGAGCCCTTGATGTCCACACACAGTAGGGATTTCGGAGCAAGATAAGAAGCTCAAGAGTAAGGTTTCTCGAAGGCAAAAAGAAACTCTGGGCCACCCACATCTTTGCTGTGGGGACTGTCCGGCGCATTGTGGGTTGTTTAGCAGCGTCCTTGGGCTCCCGCCCGGGATGTCAGCAGTACCCTCTCTCCAGTTATGAGAAACAAAAACATCCCCCTGGGGTGGGGGTGGGGGGCGCAAAACCCACCCCCACCCCTTAGTGGATGATGGGATCTAACATGTTTTGAAAGGAGCACTTGTCTGAAAAAAAATTCAGACCTGGCAATTTAACTAACCAAAAGTCACACAAAATTATGCCCAACTGCACCATGAGTGCAAAAGTGCACCATTCTCAACAGGGAAAAAGCACGTGACAAGTGACAGAACATCTATGCCCATCACTCCAGAAAAATATACAAAGAATCGTGGTATTTAACGATGAGGAGGAGATACAGAAATCAGGGCTCTCAACTGCCATTGGTGGCAGTGTAAAGTGTGTAAGTTACTTTGGAAGACGATTCACTGGTATCTATCCGAACTTTGAATGGACATGTCTTTAGACCCATACGTTTCCTTGCTATGTATCTGTCGAAGGAAACAGCCATCTCTGCAAGGCTGGGGACTATAAATAGATGTGCACCATTTGTGAAAAGGAAAAACTGGAATCATCTAGATGTCCATCCGTAGAGGATGGCTATAACCATTGTGAAAGCTATGCATCATATACTGTATTTAACTATATTCAGCTTAATTTATTTCAATGTTTAGGTAAAAACTGGAAGGTTTCATAGCAAATCATTAATGGTGAGAGGTAGGATTAGAGAGGAGGATAAGATGGGAGGTCTCCAGTGATTGCATCTTTGACAAAAACAATGTATTCATGTATTATTTATGTGTACATAGATGTACAAGCATATATGTGCATGTTTCTGAACCCTGTGTGTCTAACATATATGTACTGTGTGTGCTCACACACACACACACCCCAGATACCGCCTGGGGTATCCCCACCCCCAGGCAGAACCACTGGCACCCTCACATATTTATGTTAGCTGTGGGGGAGTTTATCTCCCAACAGGTTAAAGACTATATATATATATATATATATATTTTTTTTTTTTTTTTTTTTTTTTTTGGTCGAGCTGCACGGCATGTGGGATGTTAGTTCCCTGACTAGGGACTGAACCCGGGCCCCTGCATTGGAAGCACGGAGTCTTAACCACTGGACCGCCAGGGAAGTCCCAAAGACCATATGTCTTTATGACATCACATAAACCACAGAATTTCTTTGCAATACCTGGAACAGGGCAGGTGCTGGGCAGAAGTATAATCTCCCAGCCTTGCAGCAGCTTCTGTGCCCACTGCTGCGGGATGTGTGTGAAGCTCCTGGGGTCACCCATACAGATCTGCCCGGCTAAGACGGCACAGTCCTCCAGCACAGGGCAGGGGCCCTCGGCCTCAGCACCAGTGACGTCTGGACGACTCTCTTTTGGGGGCCGTCCTGTGCGCTGTAGTATGCTGAGCAGCATCCCTGGTCTCTACCCACTAGATGCCAGGAGCACCCACCCCAGAGCTGTGACAACTAACAACGTCTCTAGACATGGCCAGAAGTCCACCGGGGCCGGGTGTGAAGTCGGGCCGTCGCACCCCTCCCCCATTCCCCGCCCCACAATTGGGAACCATTGTGCTAGTGGGAAAAGAACAAGGCAGTGCTTGTGTCAGCCAACCCAGGACCCCAGGACGTCTTTACAACGCATCTCTGATTTCTAAATGCGGCCAACGCAGCCCAGAAAGGCGTTTCTGAGAAGCCCCTACTGTCCCACAAAGGTTGAAGCGCTGGGGACAGGACCCTCCTCTGCAGCTGCATCGCATTTCCTAACAAGGTTCTGGTGACCTTGAAATACTCCTTCCATTTAGAAGATACTGATGAAGTGCAGTATCCTCCCCTGCATAATTTTCTTAAATAATGGACTTTCAGCCCAAATGTATTATTTCGATATTTAAAAAGTTACTCACTCTGTACCGACATCATCTCTGGAAAACAAAGAAATCACTTGCTGTGGTTGGTAAATGTCACAGCAGAACAGTAACGATTATGTCAAGTGTAGCAACCGTCAATTTTCTGTAGTTTAATACAACACAGCAAATTCCGATACCCACACAGTGCAGCAGAAACATGCAGGAAGGAGCCGAGGAATATTGAGGAGAGACAAGAGCGGCTGACAAACGCCAGCCAGCGAGCTCCTGAGAAGGGATGCGTGAGGCCGGGGAAGCAGGCGCCGAGGGAAGCGGTCTGCGTGGAAGTGCAGTGCCCGCCTTGAGCGCATCAAGGACATCATGAAGAGCAAGAGCCGGGAGGACCGGGCAGAGGTGCTTTGGGCAGAGGCCGCAGCAGCTCAAGCCGGCCCTCCAGCAGGCAGTCAGATGATCTGCTTCTGTTGCTATTTTTACATTTGCTAAAAAGGTAACAAAGCGGATTTCCAGACATCCCTGAATGATACACCATACTGAGCGGCCCGCTTTTTCGCTTCCAGAACCACGCCCTCCCCCTGCCCGCCCCCTGCGTGACATTCGCTCCTCCTCCCCGCGCCCCCAGACAGCAGTTCGTATGTGACTAAAGAAAGGTTTTCGTGAAGCGTTCCATATTTTTTAAGAAGAATAAAAAAAAACAAAACTTTTTGAAAAAGATAGGCTTCACAGCTTTCCGAAGCACATATTTTGAAATAATTTGGTTTTAAGACTCTTTCCAGAAGGCACGAAAGAGAGAAAGTCCCTAAAAAAAGAACATGAAAGCTAGGGCAGGGTCAGAATACTGAACACGGTGCACACGGGGAGAAAGGTGACAGGCTAAAGACACTGTGCCTGCGAGGCCGGCAGCCCACCTGGCAGTGCTGCCCATGAACCCTGGCTGAGACCGGGAGGGAGGGAGGGGGGGAGGGAGGGAAAGACACATTTTGAAAATGCACACACAAGGTCAAGTCCCGATTTTCAGAAGGCGGGTGATGGACAACACAGGTCAACAGAAGCGACTGAGCTTCAATTCTCTCCATCAAAATGATGTAGATTAGGTACCGCTATCACCCGTTGACCTAATCCTTTCTAAACTGTCTTTTAACCCAAGATACGTGGCTTTTTCTGTTAACCTATGGAATAAGCAGCCACATATTCAAAAACCAGGTTTGCTTAAGCTGGTCTGAGGGACTGATGCTCAGTCGGAAGGCAGGGAGGGGGTTCTGAACTACCTGAGAGGATAAGGAGAGCCGGAAAAGTCTCTGTTTTTATTAAATCCCATCTTCATAACTGTTTGCAATATTGAGAGTTTCACATTTTAATGCACATGAAATTTTGTCACATGTATTCAGAAGCTACGCATAAATGAAGAACCTTAATTCTGTACTATCAGACACTGCTTTCTGCTAAGAAGTGGATAAATCACAGGCTGGAACTCCGCGAAACCACTTTCCACAGGAGAAAGGAAGTAAGCAGGAGGCAAGGTTTGAAAAAGGAGCTTCTTACCTCTTTCTGGCTTCCTCATACTGCCAGTTAAGCCTGACTCGGTCCACGAGCCTTGTTTTATCATCAAAGACGAACTTTGTGGAACAGAAGAAAGAAAGAAAATGGGGGAGACACATTAAAAACATATTTTCAAAATAGAAAATTCACTTAAACTTCCAGCAACAATGAAGAATATTTTAATTCGCCTTCCAATTTCCATTTTGCAAAGGTCTGGAAGGAAACACACCAAATTACAGCCGCCACCTCTGGTCAGTGGAGGTTGCGAGTGGGGCTGGGAACACTTTTGCTGTCCCAACACTGGTGGGTTTTTTTTTTTTAAACCAGTGGAAGTATATTCATCTATTGTGTGATTCCAAGCAACAACAACAAATTAAGTTTTAAAAGAAATAGGGAATTCCTCAAAGTTGATAGAAAAGCAAAAAAAATCATCCCGCCTAGTGTAGTCTATGCTCTCACTCCTCAATCAACACAAAACAATGGTGTTCTCCTAAAAAGTCACAAGATCCGAAGAAGACGGACTAGCTGTGTGAGGTGTTGGCTACGGGACTCCTTCGACTGCCATGCAGCCCGTTAAAGAATCAAAGGTGAAAGGACGGAAGGAAGGCACGGAAAAGCCTGGGACTGGCCGCCTCGCCTCAGGAGTCAAGAGTTGAAATGAGGAGCTCTGATGCGATCACTAGTTGCACCTAAATATTTTCATACCAATTACACTGAAGCCAACAAATTCCCAAACAAAACAAACAAGACCTGTATGAGAGGTAACTGCAGCTCACCTTGGTTACTTCTTCCTTCATTCCTGGAAATATACGACTCTAGTTTCAATAAATCGGCTCCATCTGTAGATCTGACCTTACTCGGCCATACCTTACGGCCACTACTAAGTCTTTATTTTTTTAAATGACCTCGTGTCGACAAATATTTGGAAATATTCTACTTGTATGACTGGCAATGAATTCACTGATACGAGTTTTGAGACAGGTCAATGGGGAATTTCCTTATATCTTTATCGCCCTGAATGGCAAGAAGAAATGCCTTATACGAGACTATAAGCATTCGCCAGTGAGATGTGTCACGATTTTACACATTTCAGCAGCCTCACCCAAGGCCTCTCTCCACAGTGTCCTCAATGTAAATGCATCTAGGCTGCAGCACCGCATCTGCAGAAACTCTCTACACTGGATATGAGCTACTTGTCACCTTGTCACCTTGTTCATTAGAGACCCCTAAAGCCGACTCATCATCAAGACAAATAAATGTCATTTCTTAAACATCTTCTCAATGCTATTTATGAACCTCTAAGCTCTGATTTTGCACTCTTCTGTGAGAATGAAATGGACATTTTAATTAAAAAAAAAAAGCCTACAGCCAAACGGATCCAACAGGTTCCTGCTTCATGGATCCTACATAGCCCTACAACATGTACCCCAACTGCTAAATTCCAGCATTAGGCTTGTACTGCTTACAAATCTGTGCTTGCAAAGCCGTGGGCTCCAAAAGCATGTTTGATTACATCAATGCCCATCCCACAAAACTAACTCAAAGTGATAACTACATGAGGTAGGCAGACGTCTAAGACGGCCCCCAATGGCCTTCACCTCCTGGGATTCATCCCATGTGAAATCCCTCCCCTTTGAGAGTGGGCTAGACCCATGACTTGATTCTAACCAAAAGAATACAACAAAGATGATGGGAAGTCATTTCTGTGATTAGATTACAAAAGACTGTGACTTCCTTCCTGCTGGAGACTCTCTTGGCTTCCACACTGTGACAAAGCAAGCTGCCGTGCTAGAGAGGTCTATATGGTAAGGAACAGAAGCCCTCAGTCCAATAACCTGTGAGAAACTGAATCCTGCCAACAATCATGTAAGCCTGAAAGTGGACCCTTCCCAGTCAAGCCTTCCCATGAGGCTGCAACCCTGGCTGACACCTTGACTGCAGTTTCTTGAGCGCCCCTGAAGCAGAGGACACAGCCCAGTTTCCTGATCCACAGTATAAATGTGAGATAATAAAAGTGTGCTGTTTTAAAATGCTAGGTTGGGGATGTTTTGTTATGCAGCAATAGCTAACTAATGCAGTTATAGCCTTTTGATATATTTTTCTATAACATGATGTAGTAGAAAACACAGAGGTTTAGGGATCAGAGACATTGATTCAAACCCAGACCTGCCTCTCCCTGGCTACATGACCTTAGGTAACCTGGCACCTTGACCCCCTCGTCTGTCAAAAGAAGATGGAAACCACTACGTAAATTGAGGTAACAGCCATGAAGCTGCCAGGGCCAGCCCCAGTAAACTCATAAACAATGATAATTTACTGCTGAAGTTATTATAGCTGTATAACCAGCCACTCCCCACCTGACATTTTTAGAAAGTCTTAGCTAAATCATTACAGAACCTTCGATCTTACCTGTTGCTCTCAAACTAGTTAAGAGTCTCTAAAAATTCTAATTCTAACCTTATGTTGAGCAGCAATGAATTATTCATGGAATTCAATAAGTATCATACTTTTTTCCTTCTCTCATGCCAAAATCTTTAGGCAAAAATGCCAGACATTTTTGACTTACAGATTCTTCTCTGTTTTAAACCAAGATACCTAGTCAAAAAATGTCCAAGTGTACTTTTGAGAACAATGAGGGGAACACAGCAAATAGGGCAGTTCAGGACATCCAAGACACAGAGGCATTATTTCCTATATTATACACCCCTGAAAGAGGCACTATTTGTCGACATTTTAAAATATCAGCTAATTATTTAAAATCCAGAGTTTTTTAGTCAATGGTTTTCCTTTCTTTTTGTTTCTTTTTATTTATTTAATTTTAGGAAGGCATTCTGCATTCCATTGATATTTCATCTTTACTTAGTAAGCCCTAAGAAAAAGAAGCCATCCAAACTGTTTTTCCATTTCTAACAAATAAATGTAAAACTTCACTCAATGCCATTACAACAGTAGTGTCTTTAAGTATTCACCACCCTGCTTCAAATGATGGTTGCCAATTTTGTTTTTGTGGCTAACTCCAGGCTTTACTAATTATCAAAAGGGGCATTATGAAATTCTTCCAAGTCCCAAACAAAATTAATTTCAATTCAATTCAATTTCCTGACATTCTCTTAGAAGAATAAGAAATAGCATCAAAGTATAAGCCAAGAGTGACACAGCCACAAAGCCTCTGAAAATCACTGGCCTAAGCCAGAGCTCAGCAAACTATGGCCCGAAGGCCAAATCCGGCCCACCACCTCTTTCTGTAAATAAAGTTTTATTGGAATTTTACTGGAACAAGCCCCATCCACCCATTCACATATGGCCAACGGCTGCTTCTGTACTATGACAACACAGCTGAGTAGCTATGGCAGAGACTGCATGGCCAGCAAAGCCTAAAACACTTATTATCTGGACCTTGGCAGAAAAAGTTAGCTGATCCATGCTCTAAAAAGTCATAGGTCTGCCAAGAAACATCTAGACTCAACTCTCAAAAGGATTCTGCCTTTTCTAAGAATGCGAATCACAAGGATAGAGGTAATAAGCCATTCAATTGCCTCCCAGGCCCCTGAACCTTCAAGATGGCTAGAAGTGGAAAACAGTATTCTTTCTTCAAACTTAATGGCACAAAAGCCAAAACATTTTTGAAGGGAAAGTGGAAAATTTAAAGAAATGGGTGACGGCCACACGAAAGCAGTCCTTTTCTCTCTGAGCACACTCAGTTCCTCCCCCTGCCCAGTGAGCGTACCTCGCCGATGACCTCAGTCTGAGACCCAGCATCGCAGAACTGGTGAGGTAAAGACTCGCCCAGCGCGCCCGCACTGGGAGGGAACTCTTGCAGAGGGTCGGTAAGAGAACAGCTATTCCTGAAGCCATCAGTCAGCTTGGCCAGGCTCTGAAACAGAATGAAACAAGAGACTTGAGCAGCGATGGCGATGCTTCTCTTCCCTTTCACAGCGGTCATTTCCTTCCTGTTCCAGGTCGGCAGCTTCATTACTGGAGAGCAGGCCGACCCCAACTCCATTCTCACGAGATTCAAAAGAAATGTCGATCAGCACATGCACCTTTCATGAAACTCGTAGTAATTTAAATCAGACGGCAACTGAGTCCTCCTGGCAGCATGTGAATAATATAGAGAACTGTGGTACCACTTCTACGGTTTTTTAAACCTTTGTGTTTCCTAAAGAAAAAATAAGCATTCCCTCCAAAAAAGCCAAATTCAAAATAGAGAGTAGAAAGGCAGTTGCCAGGGGCTGGAGGGCTGGGGAAAATGGGGAGATGCTGGTCAAAGGGTACCAAGTCCCAGCTGTAAGGGGAATAAGTCCCTGGATCTCATGAACCTCATGTCCATAGCATGGTGAGTATAGTTAGCAATACTGTAGCGCATGTTTGCAAGTTGCTAAGAGAGTAGATCTTAAAAGTCCTCACCATGTAAAAACAAAGGTAACCGTGTGACGTGATGGATGTGTTAACTAATTGTGTTAGTTATGTGTTAACTTATTGTGGTAATCATTGTGGTAATCATTTCACAATAGATGTGTATATCAAACCATCATGTACACCTTAAATTTATACAATTTTATTTGTCAAGTGTACCTCAACAGAGCAAAGGGGAGGGGGGAAAGTATTTCCATCCAAAATAGTCTATCAATAAATAAGTCCAACAGAGACGAATGCTGCCTTGAGGTCTTCAGTACCACACAGAAGGTGAAAACAGCTCCCAGACAATATTTACATATTCTTATAACCTGGCTTTTCAGTCACAATGCTACAGGGTCAAAAGTCATCTTATATGGATGTCAGTTTACCAAAAATTAGAGTAAGCATAAATTCTGGTACAGGGAACCCTTTTGGGTAAAAGTTAAAGAGAAATCAGATTTTCTAAGATTTTTAAAAGACCTGTGAAAAGCAACTATACCCCCATAAAAAGAAATCTAAAAAAATAAGAGAAAAACATGAAAAACAATTTTTTAAATAAAAGACTTGTGAAGGCATTCACATTCAGCAGATATTCCTGCAGACACTAGACGCCCATGCGCAGTGTACCCCAGGTAGCTGCCTCGGGATCTAGACAAAGGCGTCTTGGAACGGGCCAAGATTGCTACAGTCATATAACAAAGATGAAACAACTTATTTGATTTTACTAGACGAAGACATTGCCTGTGCGTCTCCCTGGAGCATCTCAGAGAAGATGCTGGGGTCTGAAACTTCTTCCAGAAATTCTATCTCCAGCCTCCGTGGTGGGGAACCCACTCGAGGCAACTGGGTGGCTTGGCCAGCTCTGCACTCTCAGAAAGAACGGGGCAGGGACACCAGCTCCACGTCCCGGGCGAGGCCTCCGTGTCCCTGGGGTGAAGTACCACCTGCTTCACCCAGGGTTTGGGCTTGGATCACATGGGTGATGTCCGCAGAGCACCTCACCCAGTGCGGCACACAGAGGCCTCGGCAGACGGCCGCCGTTCTCCTTGCTACCAAGCCTCGGAGAAAATCTAACAACTGACCGTTTACCTCTCATGACCTGGAAATACAGGGCATCTGAAAATACAGATTTCTGGGTCCCAACCCCAGACAGTCTAATCCAGGAGACCTGGGGTAGGGTCTGGTAATCTGCAATTGAACGAGCAGCCTAGGGACACTCCAGCCTCACGCCCTTGACGTTAGGAAGCACTGCCGGGCAAGGCAGTCATGTGCGCACCTGTTGCACTCGGCCTACGAGTCTGAGCTTTGCTCCCATGTCCTTCTGTGTCTTACATGCTACAGAATCGAGACAAATGCCTCCCAGCACCAGGTGCTCACTCGGTGTGCTGAGCCGAAAAGAAAAGCCACAACAGAGAGCATCAGATGCATTCCGGCACCGAGCAGGAGCCCGGCATGGGCATCTGAAAAAACTCAGCTGTTTCTAAAAATAACAGAAACTGCAGGAGTTCAAGGGGCAAAAAAATAACGCAATATAAAGCTACAATGAAAAAAAGTCTGTCCTCACGGTGGAATACTATGCAGCCATATCCAGGAAGGAGGGAACTCTGAGTCCAGAGACGGGAAAAGGTACAGGGCATAACGGTTAGGTGCGGAAGCTACCGCGGGGCAGCAGGCACAGACCCGGCTTTCTGCGAGGGCAGCTGGCCACGTGTTCACACTTTCAAGTGTCTGGAAGGGTGTACAAGAAGCTAATGAAAGCAGCTACAGGAGGTGAGAGAATGGGGTGACAGCAACTCTTACAACAGACGTTGAATTATTTTGATTATTTAACAATACAAATGTATCACCCATTGTTGTGGCCTTAATTGTGTCCCCCAACAAGATATGTTGAAGTCCTAACCCCCAGAACCTGGAATGTGTGCTTATTTGGAAGGAAGGCCTGCAGATGGAATCAAGTTAACATGAGGTCATGCTGGATTAGAGCAGGTTCTAATCCAATGATCGCTGTCCTTATAAGAAGAAAAAATTCATACACAGAGACACGGGAAACCACGTGATGACAAAGGCAGAGACTGGAGTGATACGTCTACAAGCCGAGGAACACCAAGGACTGCCAGCAGCCCCCAGGAGCTGGAAGAGGCAAGGAAGGAGCTTCCCCTAGAGCCTTCAGACAGAGCGTGGCCCTGCCGCACCTTGATATCAGACTTCTGTCCTCCAGACTCGGAGAGAATAAACTTGTGTTGTTCTAAGCCACCTGGTTTGTGGTTCTTTGTCATGGCAGCCCTAGGAAACTAATACGCATATTTTTAAATATTTATAAATATGTACACACACATATACAGAAGATATCATATATACATATATATCATACATACATGTATGTCTTTAAAATATGTGTGATTATATAATAAGTATATAAAATATATATAGTAAATATATATATATATATTTTTTTTAATTATTAAATAAAGTTAAGAGATAAGCAGGTGGGCAGACAGACGGACGTGGGCTCTGAAGAGCACCCGGGCCTCTTACTTGCATCAGATCCCGCCTCTCCTTCTCGCCTGTACAAATGGCTTTCTTGATGGTCCTGAGCTCGCTCATTATAGCCTGAGCCTCATCCAGTTTGTAATTGGTGTGAGCACTTGACATCTTACGATCAATCCTGGTTCGAAAAGAAACATGAGTCATTCTATGCGAGATTACAACATTCTATTAAACAGTAACAACCCAAAACTTAAAAGCTTCAGAGAAAGGTGGGAAACAGTTAAAAACAATGTTTTGACAAAGAAAAACAAAGATCCCATAAGACCTTCCTTGTTCGTGGTGAACACCAGATGAGACTGCTGGTGGACGGCTCCCTTTGCTCCAAGAGCATCCTCTGCAGGTGAGGACGTTCCAGGCAGGGTTCCCGTGTTCTCTACTAATGCTCAGGCAACGAGTTCACTGGCTTAAAATTTTCCTGAAATTTTAAATTTCCCTCTCTGAGAGCAGGATCATGTCTTATTCGTTTATCCCCAGCATCTGGCTTAGTGGTCAAAAATGTCTATTAAATAAACATACAAATGAAATCTGTGTACAAGAAGAATATATGGGAAACAGCAAAAAGTAGTGAACTTTCAACAGGGACACCCTGTACAAAAGTTGGAAACTCTTATGGCTCCTCTATCTTCCTTTTATTCTGGTTCTAATTTATCACTCTCTCAATCTACTACTCCCCTTCTACTCAAACATCCATTCATCCTTCCTTCATGCTTCGCATTCAAGCTAACTTCCATCCATCCTTCCTTCCAGCCAGCCCACCCCGGGGCGCACAAGGCCTGGTTCTGGGTGGTGGAAGCAGAGCGCTGGCCGAGACTAGGCTTGGCTCCGGCCTACAAAGAGCAGGCAGCCTCCTGTAGCTCGTCCTTGGTCACATCTTCCATACCTAAGTCTTAAGCCTTGGAAGCCCGCGGGGCTGAAGAAGAGACTTTGGTCCAGAAACAGAATGAACTCCTTCTCTGGAAAGTCACCAGATCCACCATGACACAGATTCTAGCTCTAAACTGCTTCCCCCATGTTACCCGAAAATCCAGATGCTTAACGGCCAGCCCAAACGCCCTTGTGTTCCACTCACAAGAGCATCCTGGCATGCTGGTGAGTACAGGTGACACTCCAGCTCTACAGTGGGACCCTGGGCGAGACACTTCACCTCTTTAAACCTCAGTTTCCTCATGCCTCAGATGAGGACACTAAAACTGTCCCTCCCACTTAATGAGAAATGTAAGGAAAGGGCTTACTTAGCAGAGACCTGGCGTATAATGTCTGCACTGATTATTATTACCAGGATAATGCTCAGTCTACTTACTCATGGGAGAAAAAGTAAAAAATGCACCAACTCCGGTACTTTATTATCATTAACAAATTCCTGGCCACAAATGTCACAACTCACAGCAAAACTCAGCACCAGAGCTGATCTGAGCTATCAGCACCACTGGAATGAGAGAACAAGCAGGAAATCATTCCCTCCCTTTGGAATAGGGCTTCAGGGCTCAACAGCACCGCTATGATTGCCATCTGCAACAAACAATATTTATGAAACCTGGTCCCGAGTCCTCTTCCTTGGAGAGCGGATACAGATGCACTAGGGGACCCCACACATTGAATGGTGACACCCCTACATCCCAGCATGACCTGGCCATGTGTTTTTCCATTTCAGCTGTTCTATGGAGAACCAGGAGTCTCTAATGCAAGGCAGGAACAAAGGCCATCCATCTCCCAGCACTGCATCTGTCTAGGAAGTGGCCCAGCTTTTCTTGCAGAGAGAATCTAGACTCATTTATGTAATAATATCTCCTTATATCCATCTTCTGATAAAAGGCTTTCCAATACATCTCATTTAATGTCACAAACCACAACCCACATAGGTTGACGAAGTCTGTAGAAAAGGGTTACATCATTTCCATACAAAAAACCCAAGGCCAAAAAAGTGTGATTTCTCTGTAACAGTTAATGACCAATGCCTTTGCTAACCAGGCCTACTGGCTCCTCCCGAATGAGAAATACAGCAAATGGATCGTCACCTGACACTGACACCCACATAGAGAAATGAAACTCTACTGCACTGAACTAAATGTTTTCAATTCCTTAATCATCAGTGCTAATCAAATGGTCAGAGAGTATAGACACACAACCACTGCTAAGGCCGCGACGTAAGATGCTAACCACATCAGCTCCAGCTTCGTACTTAGGTGTTGTGAATTCCTTACAGCTTTTAGCAGCTACAGAGCCTAAGTGCAGCCATCAGTAAAGCCAGGCGCTGCGCCAGCTGCCTGTCAAGGCACCAGCATCTACAATGGGAATGGCCGCTACCTGGAGGAAAACAGGCCCCGATTCCCATCAGGGAGAGGGATCCGCAACCCTGTAATGCCTCGCATCGGCAGACACTGCAAAGCGCGTCGGAGAACGAAAGTTCAACTTTAAGGCCACGGACCCGGGCCCTGACCACAGCTCCACCCAGGTGGCTCTGAGACCTCGAAAAGGAATGAAGATTGACCAAGAGCAGCTGTTTTCACTCTGTCCCGAGGGTGTCCTGGAGTGGTGAGCTGGAGTAAAGGGAGAACCCACACAGGGCTCGGAGACCCTCACCCCTGCTTCGGCAAGGCCGTCCCTTTGCTCCGTCTCAGACAGTCTGCTTCCACAGAAGGTGTCATTTGAGGGGAAGGAAAGGGGAAAAGATTCCACTGTTAAAAGGTGTGAAAGCTATTAGAGAAGATGATCTCAAAGTTCTAGGAATCTCTGAAACACTATTGTTTAAAAATAGTTACGTATTATTGTAGAATATATAATTATGTAAAAAGTTATTATTATATAAGTATAACCTTATATAGCCATATTTGATACAGTACATATTATTTGACTAAATCATATAATTATATCAATAGCATATTAAAATAGTTCAGTGTATCAAGCACCTACTACTAGGTGACAGAGTCTTGTTGCATGCTTTATGTCTGTCATCTCATTTAATCCCCTCAACAGTTTTATGAGATGAGCACAATCTTCTCAGACTTTATAATGGAAAAATTGAGGCTCAGAGAGATTAAGTAGCCCAAGAGGACAAGCTGAGACCTGGCAGAGCCAAGGTTCAAACCTACACCTCCCAGGTGTCAAGCCCGAACTGGATCACCAGGTGCAGCGATGGCCCTTGCTACCCCTGGGTGCCCTCCTGCTCACAGTGGCCAAGATAGGGCCCACCTGCTTTATCATCTAGCAAAAACTTCAAAGGACAGGCACCCTCTTCCATCGCATCTGCAAAATTCACTTATTTGGGAGTTTTCTCCCTTTTTCCAAATTCCCTCTAAAACTTTGGTCAAATTCGGAGGATATACTCAATGATTTGGTACTTTCTAAAATATCAATATATTCCATTTCGTGAAGAAAATCATAACATCTGTGACTGCCAAAGAGCTTTTTCCTTTTTTAATTTTAATTAAGAGCTCAAAACAGTGCTTATACATCTCAAATAAGATGACGGAAAGTTGACAAGGGCTCAACAAAAGACGGCATTAGTAAGAATACAAGTTATCACGCAGTGCGACGTGATGTGCATGCTTCTGTCCCCCCAGCACCCACGCGCTGGAATCCTAATGCCCAGGGTGACAGGATCAGGAGGCGGGGCCCTTGGGAGGTGATCAGGTCATGAGGGAGAAGCCCTCATGAATGGGATCAGTGCCCTTATGAAAGAGGCCCCAGGGAGCTCCCCTGCCCCTTCCGCCATGTGAGGACACGGCGAGAAGATGGCCATTCGTGAAGTGGGAAGCTGGCTCTCACCAGACACAGAACCTGACTGTGCTGGCGCCCTGATCTTGGACTTCCAGTCTCTAGAACTACGAGAAATGAATTTCTGTTGTTTATAAGCCGGCCGGTCTATGGCACTTTGTTACGCAGCCTGAATGGACTAAGACCCGGTGTAAAAAAAAAAAAACCCAGGACACAGACCACACAGCCTTTACTTTTCACCCCTCAACATTCTGCAGCAGCTTTGGGAAGGTTAAGTGACTTGCTCAAGGTCACACAGCCAATAAGAGGCACAGTGAGCTTCACACTGAGGCCCCTCACACCACACTCATCCTCTTCTGTTGCTGGGCTAGCAATACATTCAGGGTCAAGGCCTCCAAACTCACATTGTGTCAAATCTGAGGGCCACCCACATAGCCAGTCAGATGTTGTCCCAAAGTAAACTGGTGCTCTTTACTGGCTGCCTTTGAAAGAAACGGTTAGAGAGAAAAGAAGGCACAGCTTCAAATGCTGACCACACACCGCTAAGAAAGCATCTTCAAGATGATTCTCATCAAACTCCCCCTCCCACTGCCCTCAAGTGTCCATATTTGTTGTTCAACTTAAGATGTCAAGAGAAGGGCTTCCCTGGTGGCGCAGTGGTTAAGAATCCGCCTGCCAATGCAGGGGACACGGGTTCAAGCCCTGGTCCAGGAAGATCCCACATGCCGCCGAGCAACTAAGCCCGTGCGCCACAACTACTGAGCCTGCGCTCTAGAGCCCGCGAGCCACAACTACTGAGCCCGCACACCTACAGGCCGTGCTCCGCAACAAGAGAAGCCACTGCAATGAGAAGCCCACACACTGCAACCAAAAGTAGCCCCTGCTTGCCGCAACTAGAGAAAGACTGCATGCAGCAACGAAGACCCAACGCAGCCAAAAATAAATATAAATTAATTAATTAAAAAAAAAAGATGTCAAGAGAACTGGTCTGACAAAAGTAAAACCAAATGGACTGTTAAACCCACATCTTGAAGAAAAGGGCTGCCAGGTCTTGAAAGATATTCCACGTTAATACCACACATTACAAGCCCCAAGAATGAGAAGTGTTGTTACAACTCTACCTTTTACATCACCAGCCCTGGCAGGGGGCCTTGAACGACCCTCACAAAGCTTCCGGCAGCTTTCTATCAGCAGCCGGTCCTGCGTGGAACGCCAGACCTGTCTCACGACGGGAACAACGCTCTTTTTGTTTCCGCCCCCATTTCTGTATGTTTTACTGTTATCTGAGGAGCGCTGGCCTTTTAGCATGGGCTGTAGCTTCTGTGCTACGGTAATGGGATACTGCTGGTCTAAGCCTGCGCTACCTGTGAACAATCCCGTTCTCTTCTGAAACCACTAAATCCC